GTCGGGGTACGATGCTGACACCGCGCGTGGCGGGACGCCGCGTGTGCTATGTGACGTGTGTGGTACGCGTACGTGGTGCGACGTCGTACGTGGTTTGACACTGGGTGTGCTAAGATGCCACATGTGGTACAAAGTGCACGTGGTGGTGCCGATGCTGCGCGTGGCACTACGCCGTCAACAGGCGTGGTATACGATGCCTCACGCGGCACGGCGCCATGTGTGGTACGACACCGTCTCCACTCGCGATACGACACCACGGGGTGTGATGTCATGTCGTGTGCGGCGTGACGCCGCTCCGGTACGATGTCGTGTGTGGTGCGACGCCATTGCCGGTACCCTTCTTCCTCTGGTGCAGGTGCTGGGCACGCCGGTCCCCGTAGGTCGGCTGGCGCACGCCGCAGTTGGAGAGCGCGTTCCTCGCGTGGTCCGGGTTCATCCCGAAGTTCAGGTGGTGGCTCGGGTGGGTCATCGCCAGCTGGGGTCATCGGGGAGGTCAGGTTGCAATTGTGGTGGTTGTGGTGGTAGTTGTGGTGGTGGTTGTGGTGGTGGTCGTGGTGGTAGTCATGGTGGTGGTTGTGGTGGTAGTTGTGGTGGTGGTCGTGGTGGTGGTCGTGGTGGTAGTCGTGGTGGTAGTCGTGGTGATAGTCGTGGTGGTGGTTTTGGTGGTGGTTGTGGTGGTGGTCGTGGTGGTAGTCGTGGTGGTGGTCGTGGTGGTTGTGGTGGTAGTTGTGGTGGTGGTTGTGGTGGTGGTCGTGGTGGTAGTCATGGTGGTGGTTGTGGTGGTAGTTGTGGTGGTGGTCGTGGTGGTGGTCGTGGTGGTAGTCGTGGTGGTAGTCGTGGTGGTGGTTTTGGTGGTGGTTGTGGTGGTGGTCGTGGTGGTGGTCGTGGTGGTAGTCGTGGTGGTGGTCGTGGTGGTGGTTGTGGTGGTGGTTGTGGTGGTGGTCGTGGTGGTAGTCGTGGTGGTGGTCGTGGTGGTGGTCGTGGTGGTGGTCGTGGTGGTGGTCGTGGTGGTCGTGGTGGTCGTGGTGGTAGTCGTGGTGGTGGTGGTTGTGGTGGTAGTCGTGGTGGTAGTCGTGGTGGTGGTCGTGGTGGTAGTTGTGGTGGTGGTTGTGGTGGTGGTCGTGGTGGTGGTTGTGGTGGTAGTCGTGGTGGTGGTTGTAGTTGAAGGTGGTGGCTCGGGTGATTCATCGCCAGCTGGGGTCATCGACGGGTCAGCGGGTGACATCACCACAGTTATCAGGTTGCGATTGACTCTGGTTGCAGTTGCGGTGCGAGTAATGGTGGCGGTTTTCAGTGGCGGTGGTGGTTATGAGTGGACTCGCTGATGACTGGTACCAGTGATGTTAAGATCAGCCTCTAAGGAGGAGGCTCGTGAAGGACACCAATGGGCCGTTGGAGGCAGTCGCCCTCCAGCAACAGGACAGAGAAGCGACGCTCACAACAACGAGAAGAGAGCTGGGCGGCTAAAGCACAGCGAGTTGGCACAGTGTGGGGCACAGGTGGTACATCTGCCAGTCGTCTCAGCCAGTCAACCCGTGGCACCTGGGTCTATTCCCGTGACCTTCATCAGCAGCGGGCCTTCGACACTTCACGCGATAGCCTCGAAGTGCACCTGGCCTGGCACAGGCACCGTGGTGACGTCACCGTCACTTAGCGGCGAATGGCGGGTATTGGTGTATTGGTGGTTATGGTGGCAATTGTGGTGGTTGTGGTGGTTGTAGTTGTGGCTAAGGGGGTTATCATTGTGGTGGTAGTCATGGTGGTGGTTGCAGTGGTGACGGTGGCTATGATAGCCATTGTGGTGGTTGTATTTGAAGTTATGGTGATTATGATGGTGGCTGTGGTGGTGGTTGTGGTGGTAGTGGTGGTAGTTGTGGTGGTTGTAGCAGTGGTTATGGTGGTTATGGTCGTTGGAATTGTGGTGGTTTTATCTTCTTGGTTCTTTCGGTAAAGTCACGTAGAAGGGAAGTAATAAAATAATAAAAATTAAACATAATAAAATAATTCTCACGACGTTTCGGCCACAACGCAAGCAGCCGTCTTCAGGTGGAGAACAGGTCTGTCAAGTAGACAGAGTCTGTCACCTGAAGACGGCTGCTTGCGTTGTGGCCGAAACGTTGTGAGAATTATTTTATTATGTTTTATTTTTATTATTTTATTACTTCCCTTCTACGTGACTTTACCGAAAGAACCAAGAAGATGAATCCCTGCAGTCACGAAAGCTTTAAATCGAAATGTGGTGGTTTTAGTTGTGGTTATGATGGTTGTTGCGATGGTGGTTGTAGTTGAGGGTATGGTGGTTGTGGTGGTGGTTGGTGGTGGTGGTTGTACCTGTAGGAGCTCGCGGTTGTTGAACCGGTACCCCAGCAGAGTCTCCAAGTGCTGTAGGCACTGGTGGTAGCGGATGTGGTGAGTAAGCACAGGCAGCATCATCGCGTGCTGCAACAACAACCACAACAACAACCACTACAATCACCAAAGATAAAGATCACCCGGATAGACAAAACAGACCGTTGGGGCAAGTGCTGTTTAGTGAAGGCCGGCACAGCACACAAGGGGGGGTGGCCAGCACAACGCCCGGCCGCCTTTGTCTCCCTAGTGGCAATGTTTACACACTGCACCAGGTACTCATTTGAGGCCGAGTCGACCTAGGGGAGGAGGCCTGGGCACAGGTTCAAGATAATCTCCGTGAGCGGGAATCGAACTCGTGTCGCCGGTTCGTAGCGCCACGCACAAACCGCTGCACACGTTGAAATGAGGATCACATTAAGTCATTGCCGGTGTGAGGTCAGGGCAGGTGAGGTCCAGGTGTCAGGCTCAGGTGAGGTCAGCATTGTGACAGCTGAGGTCAAGGTGGGGTCAGGTGAGGTCAGGGTCAGGGCAGGTGAGGTCAGGGTCGGGACAGGCGATGTTGTGGTCACCTACAGACGTCCGACCGCAGCCCCGTCCGGTAGAAGCCGCGGCTGCTGAGCTCCACGTGACCTCACGTCGCATCGAGTTCTTCTGCCTGATCCTCTGCAGGGCCTCCTACACAGAGACAAAGATCCCCCACATAGCCTTTAGCAGACTGTTGGGGCAAGTGCCGGTTATTTATATATATATACACAGTGAGTTGCGCGCACGAAAGCCAGCAGGGCGCACGAGACGGTGGGTGGCCGCCTTCATCTCCCCCGGCGGGGATGTTGACTAACACGCCGCGACGGGTACTCGTTTAAGGCCGAGTCGACCTAGGGGAGGAGGCGCGGGACGCGGTTCAGATAGTCGCCGCGGTTATTGGTCGCAAGCGGCAATCGTACTCGGGTCGCCGGTTCGTAGGGGGGGGGGGGTGCGCTTACCGCTGTGCCACACACACACTCACCTCTCTCTGCATGAGCCTCTGCTTGTAGGGAGGCTTCCCTTTGGGGCTGTTTGCCAGCAAATGTCTCAACTTCAGATAACTCCTCCACAGCTTCTGGTACCTGGCGATGACACGGGGAGACGAGGGGACACGCGGGGAGACGCGAGAGACGAGGGGAGACACGGGGAGCAGAAGGGAGATAGCAGTAGGAGCAAGGAGTCACAAAGGGTGAGAAGGGAGAGAAGTATTGGTGAGTATTGTTGATAAGTGGTGAGCATTGCGGATAAGTTCTGAGCGAGTGGCGAGTGGGTGGCGAGCGAGTGAGTGGTGAGCGGGTGGTGAGTGAGTGAGTGGTGAGCGGGTGGTGAGCGAGTGGGTGGTGAGCATTGCGGATAAGTTCTGAGCGAGTGGTGAGCGAGTGGCGAGTGGGTGGCGAGTGAGTGGTGAGCAGGTGGTCAGTGGGTGGCGAGTGAGTGAGTGGTGAGCGGGTGGTGAGCGAGTGGTGAGCGACTGGCGAGTGGGTGGCGGGTGAGTGAGTGGTGAGGGTGGTGAGTGGGTGGCGAGTGATTGAGTGGTGAGTGGGTGGTGAGCGAGTGGCGAGTGGGTGGCGAGTGAGTGAGTGGGTGAGTGGTGAGCGGGTGGTGAATGGGTGGCGAGCGAGTGAGTGGTGAGCGGGTGGTGAGTGAGTGGTGGAGCGGTGGTGAGCGAGTGGGTGGCGAGTGAGTGAGCGGGTAGTGAGTGAGCGAGTGGCGAGTGGGTGGCGAGCGAGTGAGTGGTGAGCGGGTGGTGAGTGGTTGGTGAGTGAGTGGTGAGCGAGTGAGTGGTGAGTGGGTGGTGAGTGAGTGAGTGAGTGGTGAGCGGGTGGTGAGTGGGTGGTGAGCGGGTGATGAGTGGGTGGCGAGTGAGTGAGTGGCGAGCGAGTGAGTGGCAAGCGAGTGAGTGGTGAGCGTGTGGTGAGTGGGTGGTGAGCGGGTACTCACTGCGGGTGGTGAGTGAGCGTGTGGCGAGTGGGTGGTAAATGGGTGGTAAGTGGTGAGCGAGTGGCGAGTGAGTGGTGAGCGTGTGGTGAGTGGGTGGTGAGCAGTACTCACTGCGGGTGGTGAGTGAGTGGGTGGTGAGTGGGTGGCGAGTGGGTGGTGAGGGGTGGTAAGTGGTGGCGAGTGGCGAGTGAGTGAGTGGTGAGCGTGTGGCGAGTGGTGGTGAGTGAGTGAGTGAGTGGTGAGCGCGTGGTGAGTGGGTGGTGAGTGGGTACTCACTGCGGGTGGTGAGTGAGCGGGTGGTGAGTGAGCGGGTGGTGAGTGGGTGGTGAGTGAGCGGGTGGTGAGTAGGTGGCGAGTGAGTGAGTGGCGAGCGAGTGAGTGGCGAGCGAGTGAGTGGTGAGCGTGTGGTGAGTGGGTGGTGAGCGGGTACTCACTGCGGGTGGTGAGTGAGCGTGTGGCGAGTGGGTGGTAAGTGGGTGGTAAGTGGTGAGCGAGTGGCGAGTGAGTGGTGAGCGTGTGGTGAGGGGTGGTGAGCAGTACTCACTGCGGGTGGTGAGTGAGTGGGTGGTGAGTGGGTGGCGAGTGGTGGTGAGTGGGTGGTAAGTGGTGAGCGAGTGGCGAGTGAGTGAGTGGTGAGCGTGTGGCGAGTGGGTGGTGAGTGAGTGAGTGAGTGGTGAGCGCGTGGTGAGTGGGTGGTGAGTGGGTACTCACTGCGGGTGGTGAGTGAGCGGGTGGTGAGTGAGCGGGTGGTGAGTGGGTGGTGAGTGAGCGGGTGGTGAGTGGGTGGCGAGTGAGTGAGTGGTGAGCGTGTGGCGAGTGGGTGGTGAGCGGTACTCACTGCGGGTCCCCCGCGTAGCTCAGCTGCGCTGGGCGGATGCCGAAGTGCACGATGATGGGACTGGAGTCGTCCTGCGACCCCTGGGGCCCCTGCGAGGGGTCGCGGTCCAACTGATCGATTCTCACCGAGGTGGGTTTCTAACGGAGGCACAGGGACAATGTAGAGAGTGCTGTATTGTAGTGCCGAGGATATCACACCGTAGAGTATTATATAGCACTGTATTGTGTAACCACGGTGATGTGAGACGGACACACGGGCACGATGGGGAGAGACACTGGGAGATGGAGACACGGGGGCATGGGAGACATGGGGAGACACGGGGAGACACGGGGAGACACGGGGACATGGGGAGACATGGTGAGACACGAGAGACATGGGGAGACGTGGGGACAGGGGGAGGGGCACATGGGGAAACACGGGGAGATATGGGGACATGGAGAGACACGGGGACATGAGGAGAAACGAGAGACACGGGGACATGGGGAGACATGGTGAGACACGAGAGACATGGGGACATGAGGAGAAACGAGAGACATGGGGACACAGGGGGACATGGGGACACAGGGGGAGACGTAGGGACAGGGGAGAGAAGGAGACATGGGGCGACATGGGGAGACACGGGGGAAAGATGGGGACATGGGGACATGACGGGACATGGGGAGACACGAGAGACATGGGGAGAGAAGGGGACACACCGGGAAACACGGGGGGACATGGGGAGACGAGTACATGTATCCCCCGCTATAAGTTGCCGCAGTATGCGTTGTTTCACATACATGTTTCTGGCTAATTAGGGAACTAATTTTCTTCTAAGTCTAATGTTTTCCCTTTGCATTCTTTTTTTAATTGCACAAATGCTTTTTCTTACATTTTCAACTAGCAACACAGTATACCACTTTGTCTAGTGATATTACAGTATACCACACTGTATAGTATTACCACAGCATATCACATTCTTGCAGTATTACGATAGGATATCGCATTGTGTAGTATTACTAGAGCATACCCACATCGCACGCACACACGCACGCACGCACGCACACACGCACACGCGCACACACGCACGCAACACACACGATGCGTGCACGGTATTGCTACGGGACAACCGCAGAGTATACGTCGTCACTACTACGACTATTACTACGTCACCACAAAGACGTCACCACGACTACGTCACCACGACTACGTCACCACGACTACGTCACCACTACGTCACCACGACTACGTCACCACGACTACGTCACCACGACGACGTCACCACAAAGACGTCACCACGACTACGTCACCACAACTACGTCACCACGACTACGTCACCACGACTACGTCACCACGACGACGTCACCACAAAGACGTCACCACGACTACGTCACCACAACTACGTCACCACGACTACGTCACCACGACTACGTCACCACGACGACGTCACCACAAAGACGTCACCACGACTACGTCACCACAACTACGTCACCACGACTACGTCACCACGACTACGTCACCACGACGACGTCACCACAAAGACGTCACCACAAAGACGTCACCACGACTACGTCACCACAACTACGTGACCGTGACGACGTCATCGCGTCACCGCGGCGACGTCACACAACTACGTCACCACAACTACGTCACCACAACTACGTGACCGCGACGACGTCACCGTGACGACGTCACCGCGTTGACGTCACCGCAATGTCGCCGGCGCTCTCACCGCGACGAGGTCACCGCGGCGACGCCGCCGGTGCTCTCACCGTGACGGGGTTGGTAACGATCATGCCCTTGCACTCCTCGGCGAAGCGCTGCCAGCGCGCGTCGGTCCACGAGCGCAGTTCGGCCTCCTGGGGGTCCGACACGAGGGGAGTGGCGCTGCGTAGCAGGAAGAGCAGCACCTGGTGCAGCGACAGCACCTCCTTGCCGTTGTCTGCCGCAGACAGACCCACAGGCCACAGGTGCCCCCCCCCACCCCCCCCAGAGTAGCGTCAACAGGCTGCGGGGTGGGGGTGGGGGTGGGGCGGAGGCAGGCTTGGGGTTGGGGGCAGGGATAGTTGTCTTTGTGGTGGTGGTTGTGTGTGTGTGTGTGGTGGTGGTTGTGTGTTGTTGGTTTGGTGGTTGTTGTTTTGAGGTGGTTGTGTTTGTGGTGGTGGTTGTGTTTGTGGTGGTGGTTGTCTTTGTGGTGGTGGTTGTGTTTGTGGGTGGTTGTGTTTGTGGTGGTGGTTGTGTTTGTGGTGGTGGTTGTGTTTGTGGTGGTTGTTGTTTTTGAGGTGGTTGTGTTTGTGGTGGTGGTTGTGTTGTGGTGGTGGTTGTGTTTGTGGTGGTGGTTGTGTTTGTGGTGGTGGTTGTGTTTGTGGTGGTGGTTGTGTTTGTGGTGGTGGTTGTGTTTGTGGTGGTGGTTGTGTTTGTGGTGGTGGTTGTGTTGTGGTGATGGTTGTGTTTGTGGTGGTGGTTGTGTTCGTGGTGGTGGTTGTGTTGTGGTGATGGTTGTGTTTGTGGTGGTGGTTGTGTTTGTGGTGGTGGTTGTGTTAGTGGTGGTGGTTGTGTTTGTGGTGATGGTTGTGTTTGTGGTGGTGGTTGTGTTCGTGGTAGTGGTTGTGTTCGTGGTGGTGGTTGTGTTTGTGGTGGTGGTGGTTTGTGGTGGTGATTGTGTTTGTGGTGGTTGTATTTGTGGTGGTTGTGTTTGTGGTGGTGGTTGTGGTGATTGTGTTTGCGGTGGTGGTGGTTGTGGTGGTGGTGGTTACCGGGCAGCGAGCGCACGAATCTTGGGAAGAAGTGGAACCGCGGGCACGAGGAGCGGCCATCGGGGAACTGGGGTCCTGACAACAACAACCACCCCGTCAACAACTAAACCACCACACCCAACCACTCAACAACAACAACAACAACCACAACAACAAGGCGAACCTCACCAGAGAGGTCCCAGTCGTGGAGCTCCAACAGGTCCCAGAAAATGAAGACGACAGCAGCTCCAGACCCCGCACCGTGAAGTTCTAACCACAACCACCACAACAACCACAACAATCACAACCACAACAACCACCACAACCACAACAACCACCACAACCACAACAACCACAACAATCACAACAATCACAACAACAATCACCACCACAACCACACAACCACAACAATCACAACCACCACAACCACCACCACAACCACCACAACAACCACAACAACCACCCAACCCACAACCACCACAACAATCACAACCACCACCACAACCACCACCACAACCACAACCACCACCACAACACCCACAACAACCCAACAACCACACAAACCACAACAACCACAACAACCACAACAACACAACAATCACACACAACCACCACAACCACCACCACAACAGCCAGATTAACCACCACAGCAACCACAACAACCACAACAACCACAACAACCACCACACCAACAGCCAGATTAACCACCACAAACCACCACAACCACCACAACCACCACCCCAAACAGCCAGATTAACCACCACAGCAACCACATTAACCACAACCAAGATTAATCACAACCACTGCAGCAACAACCACAACAACTCCACAAACAACCAAATTAAGCAAAACCACAACAACCACAACCACCACAACAACCATAACCACCATAACCACAACCACCATAACCCCAGCAACCACAACAGCTACCAGATTAACCAACAACACCACAACAACCACAACCCCCACCACAGCAACCACATTAATCACAATAGCCAGCCAGATTAACCACAACAACCACATTCGTGGAAACACCACAACCACTTAAGAAACAACCACACATGAACCACAACCACGACGATAAACACCATAACCACATTAACTACAGCCACATTAATCACACCAACAAAACAATAACCAACCACATAAACCACTACAACCACAACCATATAACCACAACCACCAATTAATCACAACAACCACCACAATAACCATAACCAATCATCCAACATCCACAACAACTACATTCCTCACAACATTCACAACCACCACATTCCTCACAACAACACAGCAATAACCACAACCACAATAGCCACAGCACCACAACAGCACCACATTTATCACAACAACCACAACTACATTAACCACCACAACATACAAGCACCCAAGCTCCGAGCTGGTAAATGTGTGCATTAGTGAATGAGCGGCGAGCTAGTAGTGGTGATATGGCAAGCTAGTGAGCTAGCGAGTTAGTAAGCTAGTTAACGAGAGGAATAGTCGACTGTTAAGCAGGCAGGTTAGTAGTAGACTGGTTAGTGAGTGAGCGAGTGAGCTGTTAATCTGTAGCAGGTGAGCAAGAGAACGAGTGAGGAAAACCAGTAAGCTTGTGAGTTACTGGTTAGTGAGCGAGCTAGTGAGTGTGTAAGCTGGTGAGCTAGAGAAAGGAAGAGTAAACTAGTAAATGAGCGAGCGAGTCAGTAACGAGTGAGCATACTTGTTAGTAAGTGAGCTAGTGGGTTGATAATTAGCGAGTAATCTTTTGAGCAGGGCAGTTGTCAATCTAGTGAGCAAGTGAGTAAACTAGCGAACATGTGAGCTGGAGAGTTAGTGAGCGAGTGAGTAGTAAGGTGGTGAGCGCGTGGGCGAGTGAGTCGTAAGGTGGTGAGCGACGCGTGGACGGGTGGGTGAGTGAGTCAGTAAGGTGGTGGGTGGGCGAGTGGGTAGTGGGCAACTGAGCGAGTGAGATGCGTGGTGGTGAGTGAGCGAGTGGGGGAGTGAGTTAGTAAGGCGGTGAGCAGGTGAGGTGCGAGTAAGTCAGTAAGGTGGTGAGTGGGCGAGTGGGTAGTGGGCAACTGAGCGAGTGAGTTGACATGGTGGTGCGTGAGTGAGTGGGGGAGTGAGTTAGTAAGGCGTGTGAGCAGGTGAGTGTGCGAGTTAGTAACATGGTGAGTAAGAAAGTGAGCGAGTGAGTTCGCATGGTGGTGAGCGAGCGAGTGGGTGAGTTAGTAATGTGGTGAGCGGAGCGCGTGGACGTATTGGCGAGTGAGTCAGTAGGTGGTGGGCGAGTGGGGTGAGTGAATTTGTAAGGTGGTGAGCGGGCGAGTGGGTAGTGGGCAACTGAGCGAGTGAGTTCACATGGTTGCGAGCGATCGAGCGAGTGGGTGAGTTAGTAACGTGGTGATCGAGCGTGTGGGCGAGTGAGTCAGTAAGGCGGTGGGCGAGCGAGTGAGCGGCAAAGCGGAGCAGTACCTGTGGCAGCGTCTCTACAAGAAGATGATGCTGTAATCGATGTTGAGCGGACGACTTTACACAGTGTCCCTACATCCACCATACAGTGCAGGGTGAGCGAGCAGGGGTGAGCGGGGGTGGTGAGCGGGGAGGCAATGGCAAGGTGAGCGATGGCGAGCGTGGACGAGCGATGGTGAGCGGGGGCGAGCGAGGGCGTGAGGGTGAGCGCGGAGGGCGAGCGTGGACAAACGAACGAGGGTGAGCGGCGGTGAGCGAGTGCTCGTGCGTGCGGATGAGCGCCAGCGGTGAGCGGTGTACGCACGTCCTTGAGGGGCGAGTGCGACAGGAGGGAGAAGCCTTCGAAGATGTACTCGTGGTCGTCAAAGTCAATCACCGTGGGGCGGTCCGTCTGCACACAAACGCAGCACACAAACGCAGCACACAAACGCTGCACACAAACGCAGCACACAAACGCAGCACACAAACGCAGCACACAAACGCAGCACACAAACGCAGCACACAAACGCAGCACACAAGGCCGTTGGGGCAAGTGCCGCGAGCCGAGTAGCGCCCGGGCGGGCCGGCACGGCGCACGACGGGGTGGGTGGCCAGCACCACGCCCGGCCGCCTTTCTCTCCCCAGTGGCGATGTTTATACATCACACCAACTACTCATATTGAGGCTGAGACGACCTAGGGGAGGCCCAGGATCAGTTCAGATAACTGTCACTGGTTGGCCGTTAGTAGCGCGGCGTAGCGGTAACCGGTACACTACCACTCCCCACTAACGCACACGCACGCACAGATGCACACACACGAACACGCATCATACTCAGACTTACGCACATTTCCACACACATCCATACTACTCATACACACACGCTCTCACACTCACTCACTCTCACACGTGCACACGCGCGCACACACACACACACAAGCACGTACCAGGAAGTTGGTTGCCGGGGAGACGGTGACGCGGTAGTGGAACAGGCGCCCAGCGTTGTTCCCCGTCGGGCGGCACGCTTCAATCGGCTGCTCGCAACCACGGCAACCACGACCATCCAGTCAACCACAACTGCCACAGTAACCATGTGGTGTGGTGTTGTGTGGGTGTTGTGTGGGTGTTGTGTGGGTGCGGCACTGGTGTGGCGTTGGTGCTTTGTTGGTGCTGCGGTGGAGTGGTGGAGCTGCGACATTGGTACAGTGTTTCTGCCGCGTGGTTACGGTGTTGGTGCGGTATTGGTGTAGTATTGGTACGGTGTTGGTGCGGTATTGGTGCGGTATTGGTGCGGTGTTGGTGTGGTGTTGTGTAGTATTGGTGCGGTGTTGGTGCGGCATTGGTGCGGTGTAGCTGCGGCGTTGCTCCGGCGTTGTTGCGGCATTTGTAAGACGTTAGTGCAGCAATGGTGGGGCGCTGGTGCGGCGTTGGTGCGGCGTTGGTGCGGCGTTGGTGCAGCGTTGGTGCAGCGTTGGTGCGGCGACCCCTCACCTCCTCGCCAGGGTAGATGGCGTGTCTGATCCCCGTGCTCCTGGCTCGCGCGCTGCACTTACACAGCGGCCCGTCGTTCATCTACACCACCACAACACAACAACCACAACAACCACAACTACAACAACCACAACAACTACACACTCACCACACAGCGGCCCGTCGTTCATCTACACCGCCACCACAACACAACAACTAAACCAACCACAACTACAACAACCACAACAACTACACACTCACCACACAGCGGTTCGTCGTTCATCTACACCACCAGCACAACACAAACAACTAAACCAACCACAACCACTACAACAACTACACACACAGCGGCCTGTAATTAATCTACACAACCACATTCACCACAATCACAGCCGCATTAACCAGGTAACCAGGTCATAGTAGTGTGTATAGGTTAGCGCAACTGCGCTAAGAAATTTCCAACCCGCGTTCGATTTCCACTCGTGAAAAACTGTGGCGAATATTTGAACCAGTCCTGGGCCTCCCCTAGGTTAACCGAGCCCTAAATGAGTACCTGGTGCTGTGATAATCAGCACAGCGTGGGAACTGGGAACCCACCCCCTCGTGTGCCGTGCCAGCCTTCATTGGTGCTACTCGCTAACAGCACTTGCCCCAATAGTCTGTTAAGGCTATACTGGGGATCTTTGTCTTTGTCGTACCTGCCCCGTATCGTACCTGCCCTAGATCATTGAACCACAGCTCCGGGTGGAGTCTGTCTGGGTGACTCTTCCTGCGCCTGATCTCCTCCACCACGTCCACCGCACCCAGACCGCCCCCCGCGGCCCCTCCCCCTCCCCCTCACTCCCGCACTCCGACTCCGACTCCGAGTCCGAGTCCGAGCTGCTGCTGCTGTCCGAGACGCCGCACGAGTGGCCTGCGAGACACGGGGGGAGACGCGGGGGGGGGGGATACGGGGAGATGAGGGATGAGGGAGGACACGGGGAGGGGGATGAGGGGGGACACGGGGAGACGAGAGGGAGTCAAGGGACATGGGGGGGGGCGCGGGGGGACGTGGGCAGAGATACGGCGGGAGATACAGTGAGACACGGGAACAAGCGGAGACACGGGGAGAGACGCGGGGAGAGACACGGGGAGAGACGCGGGGAGACACGGGGAGAGACGCGGGGAGAGACACGGGGAGAGAACGGGGAGAGACGCGAGGAGAGACACGGGGAGAGACACGGGGAGAGACGCGGGGAGAGACAGGGGGGGAGACGGGGGAGACACGGGGAGAGACGCGGGGAGAGACACGGGGAGAGACACGGGGAGAGACGCGGGGAGAGACACGGGGAGAGACACGGGGAGAGACACGGGGAGAGACACGGGGGGAGATACAGTGAGACACGGGAACAAGCGAGACACGGGGATGCGGGGAGGACACGGGAGGGAGGCGAGGGGAGACAAGGGAGAACACAGAGACAAGGGGAGACATGGTTATGCGGGGATACACGGGGAGATGTAGGGAGACACGGGAGAAGGGGAGACACAGGGACACGGGGAGACAGAGTGGTGAGCACGGGGAGTAATGGGGAATGTGGTGAGTCGTGGTGAGGAGCGGTGAGGGGCGGTGAGGAGCGGTAAGCGCGCTCACCCTGGCTGGGGGGCGGCTCCCAGTGGGGGCGCGACGCCCGGGCGTCCCTCCTCCTCCTCCCCAGGCGCTGCTCAAACTCCTCGCAGAGGCTCGTGAGCAGAGACGTGCCCACTGCGGTGCTCTCACCCTGCTCACCACACACGCACCACGCTCACCACGTGCTCACCACGTGCTCACCACACGCTCACCACGCTCACCACGTGCTCACCACACGCTCACCACGCTCACCACGTGCTCACCACGTGCTCACCACGTGCTCACCACACGCTCACCACGCTCACCACGTGCTCACCACACGCTCACCACACGCTCACCACGCTCACCACGTGCTCACCACACGCTCACCACGTTCACTACGTGCTCACCACACGCTCACCACACACTCACCACACACTCACCACACACTCACCACACACTCACCACGCTCACCACGCTCACCACACGCTCACCACACGCTCACCACACGCTCACCACACGCTCACCACGTGCTCACCACGTGCTCACCACACACTCACCACACACTCACCACACACTCACCACGCTCACCACATGCTCACCACGCAGCCGACACACTCACGCTGCTCACCAGTGTGCAGTATTTAGTGTAAAGAGTGTGGTGTAGAGTGGAGTATGGACAGTGCCTAGTGCGATGTAGCATCTATAGCGAAGTGTAAAGTTTATAGTACAGTGTGGTATAGAATATATATAGTGTAGTATATAGCGTAGTGTGTAGTGTATAGCGTAGTATGTAGTGTATAGCGTAGTGTAGTGTATAGTGTACATCGTAGGTTGTAGTGTGTAGTGTATAGCGTAGTGTATAGCGTATAGCGTACTGTGTAGTATGTAGTGTATAGTGTAGTGTATAGTGTACTGTGTAGTGCAGGGGTGGGGAACCTTAAGTCTGCCAAGGGCGATTTGGATATTTATAACATCATTCGCGGCCATACAAATTATCAACTTAAAATTAGCCCATTATATTTGGTCAACATTTAATTAACTCACCCTAATGTGATGGCTGGAACTGCTTCTCTTTGGCGAGGCGTGTGATGATGTTAGCTGGTATTGATGATGTTGCTACTCACAACTGCTTTTCCAGGTTTGCTCCTAGATTTAGTGAATTTCGAGTCCCGCCTGCGGTTGCCTTGGCAGGGCCACACCAAATGGTTTTGTGGCCTTATATGGCCCGCGGGACGGACGTTCCCCACCCCTGTTGTAGTGTATAGCGTAGTGTAGCATATAGCATAGTGTAGTGGCAGTGTAGTGTATAGCGTAGTGTAGCATATAGCATAGTGTAGTGTGCAGTGTAGTGTATAGCGTAGTGTAGCATATAGCATAGTGTAGTGTAAAGTGTAGTGTATAGCGTAGTGTAGTGTATAGCATAGTGTAGTGTATAGCATAGTGTAGTGTGTAGTGTAGTGTATAGCGTAGTGTAGTGTATAGCGTAGTGTAGTGCATAGCGTAGTGTAGTGCATAGTGTAGCGTAGTGGTAGTGTATAGCGTAGTGTAGTGTATAGTGTAGTGTATAGCGTAGTGTAGTGTATAGTGTAGTATATAGTGTAGTGTATAGTGTAGTGTATAGTGTAGTGTATAGTATAGTGTATAGTGTAGTGTGTAGCATATAGCGTAGTGTAGTGTATAGTGTAGTGTATAGTGTAGTGTATAGTGTAGTGTATAGTGTAGTGTAGTGTATAGTGTAGTATAGTGTAGTGTATAGTGTAGTGTATAGTGTATAGTGTAGTGTATAGTGTTTGTGTGTAGTGTATAGTGTAGTATAGCGTAGTGTGTATAGTGTAGTGTATAGTGGTGTATAGTGTAGTGTAGTGTATAGTGTATAGTGTAGTGTACTGTATAATGTAGGTATAGTGTAGTGTATAGTGTAGTGTATAGTGTAATGTATAGTGTACTGTATAGTGTAGTGTATAGTGTAGTGTATAGTGTAGTGTATAGTGTAGTGTATAGTGTAATGTATAGCGTAGTGTATAGCGTAGTGTAGTGCATAGCGTAGTGGACACCGCAGGGTGTGTAGGTGCTCTGCGGGTGGCCCACCACTTGGTCGAGGGGGTCCAGGGAGAAGTAGCTCTCGCTGGTGGAGCAGCGCACCCACACGGGGCGCTCCGGGTTGAAGTCCTCGTGCCGCGGGGGCAGCGTGGCAGTCGGGCCTGGGGAGGGGGAGGGGGGGTCGGCCCCTCCCCCCGGCCCCGCACGGCGTGGGGGCGAGGGGAGGGGCGGCGGGGGGAGGGTCGTCGTGGCGACGGCTCTCGCGACCCCGCGACCCGCTAGGGGTTGCACGTGGGAAGGGTGAGATGTCAGAGAGAGACCAACGAGTGGTAACTTCCCGTCTCCTCGCAAGTTCACGTAGCCAAGTCCCCGTGTCCCTCTCTCGCATGTCTATCTCTCCCCGTGTCCTTCTCTCCCTATGTCTCCGTGTCCCTCTCTTCCCATGTCCCTCTCTCCCCGTGTCTCCATGTCCCTCTCTCCCCGTGTCCCTCTCTCCCCAAGTCCCCGTGTCCCTCTCTCGCGTGTCTCTCTCTCCCTGTGTCTCTCTCTCCCCATGCCCCCGTGTCCCACTCTCCCCATGTCCCCGTGTCCTCTCTCCTCGTGTCTCCATATCCCTCTCTCCCCGTGTCACCATATCCCTGTCTCCGCGTGTCCCTCTCTCCCCGTGTCCCTCTCTCCCCGTCTCCATGTCCCTCTCTCCCCATGTCCCTCTCCCTCTCTCCCCGTGTCCCTCTCTCCCGTGTCCCCTCTCCCCGTGTCTCCGTGTCCCTCTCTCCCCGTGTCTCCGTGTCCTCTCTTCCGTGTCCCCGTGTCCCTTCTCCCCGTGACTCCACGTCCCTCTCTCTCAATGTCTCCGTGTCCGTCTCCACCTGCGCGTCTCCTGGAGGATTCGCGGTCTCCACTCCGCCGACTTGAGCGGTGGCGACGCTCCCTACAACCACAACACCGCACCCACAGTGATTGTTGATTAAGTTGTTATTGTCATGTTGTTTTCATGTTGTGTTGGTGTTCATGTTGCTATTACGTTATGTGTTAAGTTATTCTTATTATGTTGTTGTTATGTTGATGTCATGTTGGTGTTGTTGTTGTTTATATTGTCATGTTGCTGTTATGTTACGTTTTTCTTATTGTTATGATGCTGTTATGTTGTTGTCACGTTGTTGCTCATGTTGCTGCGTTGTTGTTGTGATCTCACCTGCTCTCACTCCGTACCTCTTCCTGCTCAACGGGGGGCGTGAGGGGGGAGGGGATGGAGGGGAGGGGCCCCTCCTCCCCCCCACAGAGCCCCTCCCCTCCCTCCATCCCCCTTCCGGGGCCACATCCACGTTCCGGGCACCAAAGAGCCCCGCCCCTCTCTCCGTGCCCCTTCCGAGGGCCCATCCACGTTCCGGGGCCCCACAGGTGGATTCCAATTCTCATTCCGGGGCCCCACAGGTTTTTTCCAATTCTCATTCTGGGGCCCCACAGTTGAATTCCAATTCTCATTCCTGGCGCCCGAGGCCGAACTCCAATTCTCATTCCGGGGCCCAGATGCTCCGGTCCAATTCTCATTCCGGGGCCCAGACGTCCCAGTCCAATTCTCATTCATGGGCCCAGACGTCCCAGTCCAATTCTCCTTCCGGGGCCCAGATGTTCCGGTCCAATTCTCCTTCCGGGCCCAGACGTCCCAGTCCAATTCTCATTCTGGGGCGTGGATGCTGAGGTCCAATTCTCATTCCGGGGCCCAGATGTCCCAGTCCAATTCTCATTCCGG